GCTAAAGCTCGTATATGTAGTCTATAACATTACATATTATGTACTGAAGACAGAGATACAGATGAGGCTCACTTAATAACTGTGGTACATGGAACTCAACAAAGAAAAACATGTTCAAAGTGCTAATAACTGGCGCTATCAAATCTCTTAGAACATCTCTTGCATGTAAACACATTTTTGATACTCATTCACAATGTCAAAATAAAATCACTGAATTTCCTCAAACAAGTTTCATCATTAAATTAAGCTAAACACAAGCAACTAAAAAGTATGTCCGCCATTTTACAACTTAGAATCGGCACGTCTACATCTCTATACCTACTAAACCTCGACTCAATGCACGTAAGTTGGCACAAATGTACTAATATACGTATCCGTATGCTGTACTAACTAGTTCGGGAGAATTTTAGTGTATTTTTAATACAGTGCTCACCTGAAAAACAGGGTTGAAAGGATGAGACAGAAGACGTAGCTTGCTTTCACGAATGCCTCTCTGTTCTGAGAGGAAATTTCAAGACTACCGTAGATAATCACAGCACAGCCAGCGCTACACTGCCCCCTTCTGGTAGCATCAGGGAATAGCAGGGATACCCGCATTCTATTACCAAGCTTAAAATTTAAGTGCATTGAGAAGAGGATTAGAAAGGTAGACTTAACAAAGTTTAACTAACAATAATAATAACAATAATAATAATATAAAGAAAACATACTAACACAAAAGTGACCACACTTTGTGGGTGTCACACAAGTTAACACATCCTCTACAAAGAACACACTCCTCTACCTAAAACATTAAATGTGGCTTTGACAAGAGTTACATTCAATATGTTTTATTTTTTCCAGTAGGTTAAATTCCGCAAATAAATAGCAACCGTGCTCTAAAAAAATTGCAGAAAAAATGTCATAATTAAGTTCCCTGTGGAGAATATGTTAATTTATTTTTACTTAGAAAATCAACAAAACAAGTCATTTGACTTGTATGAATAAACATAGACATTTTAGGGTCATTTAACACCAACTAATCTGGAGCCTGGAAAAATCAAACAGAAACCTTTGTTTAACTCAGTTTCAATTTAGTACGTTTATTTAAAGTTAGTTTAGTTGGTTTAGCTTTAATTTGCACCATTAGGTTCTAAATCACTTCTTAAATATTTAAATAAAGATTTAACTGAGCTGAAATATTAACCAGGTATTAAAACACCAGAAAATAAATATATTTCATGCTAATGCACTTTTTGTAAATGGGTTTAATAATATTTATTTTTCTTTGAAATGCAATCATTAACTTTTTAAAATAATTTTACACATTTTAGGTTATATTCCTGCGTTTCTGTGAAAAAAAAAAATTATATTTGTCTCCAGTATTTGAAACTTCATAGTTAGATGTTTAAGGCCCTTTTTATCTTTATGACGGCTTTGAAAGAGGCTGTGGTTAAAATGTTTAATAAGGGCTAATCCACTATCTTAGTACAAAAACAGGCAAGGGTCCATCCACGGACAAACGGGGCAATGCAGGCTAAGCTAAATCAGAATGAGAGAACACGAGCTAGAGGTCACTACAGGAAAGAGAACAGAGTCAAAAAGGGGTCAGACTAGAATCGAGAACGAGAAAACGAGCAAGAAAACAAACGAAGTCAAACTAGAGATGATACGCTCGATACCAGAGCATCGAATCAGTGTCGACACTTCGTGCTGCGAGTCAAACGCTGGAGTCACGTGATAACAGCCAACGAAGATTCGCTACGTCACTGCTGATTGAAATACCCCGGGCTCTTCCATGGGGTTAAACTGGTGAGCTCCAGGCGGTTTCCGTTGTTTTCAGTAGTCACATTTCATATATTTTATACCGTATTCCTGCATTCCTGCATCGTTTGTACACTGATCCATGAATAAAAAGACATCTATAATTGGCCTGTTTTTGAGTCTGAACCCTTTCACGCCCACTTACCCACAGTAGGGTTCAAAAGTGTGTGAAAACACCCAAACTCGAGGATTTCCTCGAGAAAGACTGAGTGACACCTGCATAGACAAAAACATGACTGAGATTGTTCCATTAATTAAACAGATCTGGCTCAGGAAAGACACCCAGGTCTGAAGTATGGGATCACTTTCATTCAGCCAGCCGAAATAAAGTGAGATGTGTGATATGTGAACAAACGCTAATGTGCAAATAGTTATTTTTAATACGATTTTCTCTGACCATAGCTAAAATAAGATGGAAAATCATGTCAGTTATACATTTATTTAATGTTCAAATTAACACATTTGTGTTGTGATAAACGTTTATTTGTGCGAATAAGCTTCAAAGGAAATTCATGACCAGCAGAAAACAGCCATTGTAGGAAATTGAGCTGGACAGTAGATGGCAGCATGGGGCCACTTGTCAAATGCTGCAAAGCATTGAACCATTTTCCGATACAATTGATTCAGCGGTGTTGATGCTTCGAAAAGCTTCGTAACGGCCATCAGTAAGTCAAACACAGAAATAGAGGCTCGGTAATGCACAGTAGACGGATTCAGTACACGTGTTATATAGGCACTAGAACAGGTGTCAACAATCAAGCAAAGTTTATTTATACAGCGCTTTTTACAACAGGTGTTGTCACAAAGCAGCGTTACAGAAAAATCCGGGTCCGAGCCCCCATGAGCGTCGCCAGTGGCGACAGTGGCAAGGAAAAACTCCCTAAGAGCAAGAGGAAGAAACCTTGAGAGGAAGACTCAACCCATCCTCCTCTGGTCGACGCCGGATAGCCAACGGTGATAGCATAAAGTATTATAGCACAAAACGGGGAAAACAGGCGGAGCAATGGTTAATTAGATTAGTTTTAGTTTATGCAGCAGCAGCATCGGGAGGGTCAGTTCCTGAGGGTGAGGTTTGCACAGCGTTGTACAGCATGAAGCTCGATGGTGGTCAAGCCGGTCCAGAAGGCTGGCGAGCAGTGGGCACCCGATCAAGGCAGAAGAGGCAGCAGCATCAGACGCACAGGATGGGCAGCTGTTCAACTCGGCAAAGAAAGGAAAACACACAGAGAGTCAGTTCTGTAAAGAGTGACTGATCACAGATTACAGGGTTAGCAGAGCAGCAGAGACTCCGGCAGGTCTAGTTATTACAGCCTAACTAAAAGGGAGAAACCAGAAGGTAACAGAGACATGAGGCTCCCTGAGATGTCGGCGCCCCGCCGCTCCACCGTCAGCAAACTTGAGTGAACGCGTGAGAGCAGCGGGGCGACACCAACACTCCCAGTTTACCATAATACTCTGTGTCCATAAATCCCCAGATCTGCACCTTTTATCTGACAGGAAAAACTAATTACCAAAGACTCGACTAAACAAGTAGGTTTTTAGCCTAGACTTAAAGACTGAGGCTGTGTCTGAGTCCCGAACATTAACAGGAAGATTATTCCAAAACCGGGGGGCTTTGTATGAGAAAGCTCTCCCCCCTAATGTAACTTTATTGATTCTGGGTACTAATAGTAAGCAGCACCTTGTGATCTAAGTAGGCGGGATGGTTCATAGTGGGAGAGAAGTTCACTCAGGTACTGAGGGGCGAGTCCGTTTAGAGCTTTATAGGTCAGAGAATTTTATAATCGATGCGAAAATTAACTGGTAACCAGTGTAGTGTTGATAAAACTGGGCTGATATGGTCAAACATTCTGGTTCTAGTAAGGACTCTGGCAATAATCAGGTGAACGGGAGCGTGGATAGGTAGATGATTAAGAGTCCGTGGTCATGTAATTCCCCAGAGGATTCTGGGAGTTGGAGTTCTGAACGGAGTGAGGAGTGTTAGTCTCTGCTAAGCAGGAGGGAGGCGTGACAATCCTATATTTTCCCACAAGTGACTAAACCTAAATCTACTTATGTTTCTTTAACATAGAAAAACATACACGTGCTGTGACTGCTTCATGAGTTCATCATTTTTAACAAAGATTTTTACTTAACATAAATGATATGAAGAATAAAAGAGGTAAATGATGGGAATAAATGATCTAGCTATGATTATTACACATTTACAAACATGGTTCTTCAGGAAACTACAATATGTCTTTGGCACTGCTAAAAGAACCCTTTGTAGCACTTTTTTAAGAGTGTTTCATTTACAATATGGTTTCATTTAACATCCTACTTAACATCTTAAAGTGTACTTAAGGCAAATAGTTTCAGAGGGGTTCAGCTGACAAAAAACGTAGAGAACCAAAGCCCTGCTTTACAGTAAACAAACTTAAATACTGCAATTTTCTGCACATTTTAGAGCGAACTTTCTATTTATTTGTAGAATTTAACATTGGAAAATAAAAAAAAAACACATAAAATGTGCCGTAATTTTTGTACATGCCACATTTTTCCCAATATTATAAATTTAACAAACAGTAACTGTGCAGTAAAATGTGCAGAAATGGAGCACAGACAAATCTCTGGAGGTGGCTGAATGACAGCTGAGGCAGAAGGCACTGGTGGGGTCCGTAGCAATAAGGCGTACAGAGGTATAGGCTCAACTCTGGTCACCAGAGTTGACAACGTCCAAAGGATGTGCGGGCAGGCGTTCAGGAGGTATGAGCCAGCAGGATGGCGAGGATGGGACAGCATGGAGCATGGACTAGATGGGAAAGTGCACTGCAATGAAAGATCACCTGGTTCAACATCTGGCAGGCAGACTTCCATCGAATCAAGTTCTTTGTCCAAGCTGTTTATGATGTTCTACTGAGTCCAGCAAACCTTCACGTCTGGGGCACCTTCAAGAGGGCAGATTAGTGGGTGAATGCTGCTGGAGTGCATGGTGGGGTCTGATCAACCCTGGCTGGGTTGCCTTGGCGAGGGTCTCTGATGTTAAAAGACTCGAAAAGCTGAATGACTCCAGGTTACATCACTGATAATGCATCCCAGCCAATCTGCAAGATGTATCATTCATCTTCGAAGCATTATCTTGTACCTTATTCATATTTCAGATACTTTACTGATGACAAAGCCAGCAAACATACACTATAAACTAAACATACAACAAATAAACTAAACATTTGTTTATTATTGACCATTAACAGTGTTCAACAGTGGAGCATTCATAAAATAATAAGAAAAAGAACTTAATACACATAAAAATACTCAATAAACACTATAAAATTGTTTCCTTTATGTCCATGTTTCATTATCTAAAATATGATGTGCATTATTTGATATGTTTTCAAATCTTTCTGCATAGTTTATAAAAGGCATGGCTGATAAACACAGTCATATTTGTAGAAACATGACAGTGTTCAATATCATCGCTGTTGGTCCAGCTGCCCTTTACATCATGTTCAAATGCCATGATGAATAAAGCAACAGAAATGCTCCAAAATGAATCCATTCAAAGCGCAGAAGTTACAATTTTAGACATACAAGGTTTTGATGGGACAGCGATGCTGTGACTTATTTTTTCAGCTATATTTAGTTTAATAATGTGAAAGACTGAAAATCAGAATTTGTTTTGGTCTCCCAAATTCATTTTTAATTGCATAGTTTATTTTTTAGCTCAATACCTTGGGTGTAATTCTTAAATAATATGGCTTTTCAAATTCCCTTGTTTGTATAGTTTACAAACATGTTTTTCCCTGCTGTGAAAGTGTTTTTCCTCTGAGTATAGAAGAAATAAGCGTTGAATAAATCAGCCCACCCTTTTCACATCCTCAAAAAGAGTCGACTTCCTGTATTATCTTTACATCTTTGGTTGATTACACCGCTTTGGCTGAAAATACTCTTCGGTATGGACTTTAACGGAGTCTCTGTGCTGCTCCATCCAGACGAGGGTTATTCACACACACTCCTCATAAGGAGCTCTTGTTCAGTTTCTAGTTATAATTGCTAAAATGTTGGTAGAAAAGTCTTGAGCTGTAATGTCTCTGTAACAGATAAGCGGTCATGATAAAAACTCAGGCCAGTTAGAAGCTCAATATCTCGAACTCGTGCCACATGATGCTGAGCCCACTCTTTCATCCATGAATAGTCACTTCCATTCTGCAGAAACAAGAGAAGGACATAAAGTGATGAAAAGGAGCTGAATAAACACATGGCAGATTAAGTTAATTTCTAATTGGTACACTTGATACACTATATGGCCAAAAGCATGTGGACACCTGACCAGCACACCTCTCTGAGCTTGTTGGATATTCCTTTCCAGAACCATGGGCATTAATATGGAGTTGGGGCCAATATCAACAAACACAATCACAACCATAAAAAAATCAACATTTGAAGTCCAACTTTTCTCTGTTTGATAGTATAGAACTGCAAAGTATAAACTTTAATATGTGTTTTTTTTTTAAACTGTCTTTGTAAAATATGCTATAGAGAGATCATGTTGTCCTACCATGTACATCACTGCCTGGTTGTAGTTTCAGTGCACAGTGTGGAAAAGTTAGCAGAGCTGCTCTAGCTCAGTTTCTCAGTATGTTTGCTCAGTACTCAGTACATGGTGTGCTGCGTATTAATTTGAATGAAACAGTTTTACTGATAAATGTTCATAAACAGAGCTGTCTGTAAAGGCTGCGTTTCATGTAGCATGTTAATCAGACCAAGTGTTTTTTGTACAGTGTGTGTATGAGTCCTAGGCTTTGTCTGTATACGATGGTCTATTCAAATGTACAGTGAGTCACCAAAGAAGAAGATAAAATCTCACAGTGTTTGTCTGGTTTTAGAACACATTCAACTACAGCTCAACCAGCCAAACAAAAACATTTCAACTCGACACATGAGCTCCTTGGAGGCATTAGGCTCGGTTGTGATTCCTGCCGACACCGTGCTACAGAGATTGTGGTTGAAAGAGACAGGTGAGGAGCAAAGGATCAAAACTATGAAACATACTTTACTCACAGCTGAGCAACTACCATGGTAACCACAGAGAGAGAATGTTCAAAATGATAGTCTCATTTAACTTATGTTAAACAACGCTTGTTCAACAACGCTTTCAGGAAATGCACCCCAGATGCGCCCTTCTAACTTAGAACAAAAACCAAAAATAGAACTCGTTTATATCTGCTACTCACATGACAAGTCTCCATGTTATCAGGTCGGTGGGGCAGAATGAAAGACAAAGTCTCAAGTGGACCATCACACTTTGGCAGAGCCACAGAGGAGTTCTTACAGCTTGTGAGAATCACAAAGAAATGCGTGGGCATGGGCACTTCATTCCTGGTACAAAGAAACAGCAGTGACAGTAATAGTGAGATTTGTTAGATTTGCAAACACTTCTACATTACTAAAGCAATGAACCACAAGAAACTTCCAGTGATTACATAATTAAATCACAATTGCTTTTAAAAAAACAGTGACAAAATACAATATTCAAAAATACATAAATGCTCAATAGATAATATAATTTATTATTATTAATAGCAATGAACAATTGTTCCCCATTCATTGTAGTTTGTTAACAGCAGGCTATGGTCACCAAGCAACATAATAGTCAAAGATCATCTGATAAACATCACAAAGGGTACCAGTAATTTGACACATTGGTGCAGATATGTGAGTTTAACAAGTATTTAACAACAGCTTCAAATGTGACTCAGCCAATCAGATTTCAGAACCCAGGTCTTCTGTTATATAATACAAATCCTCCCTGATTTTTTTATTCCATCCAGGTCGCTCATGACTACACTATAGACTACTGTGGAAAAATTAAATATGAAATATGTTTCATTAATATCAATTACGTTAAATAAACTACTTGCATAGCAGTTATGCTGATGTAACATATTCATGTTGAGCCAAAATACACATACGCAACTTTTTTTTCAGTGTAGGGGTGTAACAATAAGCAAATTTCATGATATAATATGTATTAGAAGTTTTTGCATCACATTATGATATATTTTCTTTACACAATTTAAAAAAAGAAATGCAACATAACTTTCACGTTTATTTATATATTTAGGTAATTCTCAAAATTAAAAAAAAAACTGACCAAATACACAATACCACACATTTGAGTGATTTCACACAAGTTAGCGTATCTGAGGTATTAGCACAGGTATCTGCTCCTCGTGTTAAGCAATGTCTGAAAACTGTGACTGTTTGCTGAATGCGAGGATGATCCATTCAACGTAGGCTGATTTTTCCAGTTCTGAGAGCTGTTCAGTGGAGTTTTTTTACATTTGTGGTAATAGTTTTCAGGAATATTACAGACCATTCCCCCTATCTCACATTTTATAGCATGAAATATGGTCTCACAACCCCTGTATCAGAAAATATATTGATATTAACATGCTTATTGTGAGATGCTTATAAAAAGCTTATTGTGAGATGCTTATAAAGAGATCTTTAATGTCAGTGATAAAGTTGTCCATATAATTAGATTTTGCCCCTGATCATAATGAGAAATATTTTGAAAATGTAAAATATCTTGATGTAATGACTTGGTTGGTTTTGAGAAAAAATGTCAAATAACTTACGTTGTCCTCCCCGTCATGATGTCATAATTTCCATCGAAGTCTTTATCGAATATTGGTCCACTCATGACATTCATGCCGTTCATATCTTGTGAATACTTCACCAGCAGGACATTGTGGAGGTGATCCCAAATGCCTAAATAAGCAAAGAACCAAACATGATACTGTAATATTTACATAATAATGTAAAACATGACAAATCTTAACAAAAAGCAACATTTGAAATTACATGGAAAATCAAATGGTCATGATTACCAACCATGACCTCTATCAGCTTTAATCTGCTGACTCTTAGTGACTTTACAGAAAGCACATTAAATCATTATGCATGCTTGGCCACTAGAGGGCATGGTAAAGTCAAAAATGTACCATCAGCAGCCAAACCAAAACACAAAACACGTCCAACATTTCGGGGTGTAATTGTAGGGATTTTCCCACAGAATAAGGCTCTCAGAGCACCTTCTGGCAGTAGACTAAATCTGAATGTTCTGTATTTGTCAGTCTGTTACCTTAAACAGCAGCCTTTTCTTAGAGTAAAACCACATGCAAACATTTGTCATTCAGACCGTGCAACAAACCTGAAAGTTAATTTACAACAGTTTGTGTAAAAGTGACAAACAATCCTGCTAAAGTGTTTTATTTATCATTATTTTTGTAACTGCACTGTCACGTCTCCTGGTTAGGTGAAGGCTTCATGCCCTGGTGCTCAAGACTCTAAAGGCGTGTTTTACAGGAAGGTAATCATTTACACCAGGCCCAAACTGAAGTATAACACAGCTGATGGCAAGATAAACTGTATAAACACATGGTGTGGCGCAGAGAGGGCAAAATCACATGGAAATTAAAGGTCATTTTAGGGTACAGTGGACGTGGTCAAAATAAACTGAGGAGAAAAAAAGCGTTAAGGTCAGTGAGCAGCATTTTGTGCTGGATAAGCAGGAATAAACGGGGGCATTCTTCCGCCTCCTAACATGAACATTTACCTTTGAAGACAGGAAACATTGGTGCCATGTTACTCGTAATCAAGGAGTCAGACTCGGTGCCATTTAAGCTCAAATCTGTGGAGAAAAATAAAACGAATTTAATAAGATTCAGTGGTGTGAGAAATGGACCCTTTCACACTTTTGATGCAGCAGAAGTTGTTAACCGCGGTGTTTACTAATATGAATGTAGAGAGGACACATTTTGTACATCATTATTACGATATTTAACCATTTTTTACTAAAGACATTTGGTTGATGGAGCAGTTTTCATTTTAAGAGAAGAGCAAGCACAACAGCTACTGACACTGCAGCTGCTGACATACCCAAAACGGTTCAGCATCAACGCCATACTGGTCTAAGCTGGTTTGGTGCTGGTCATGTGACAGTTTAGTTGGTCACACAGCATGATCATGCTCATTGACCAGCATACCAGCATCCAAAAACACTGTCCTAAAAAAAAAGGGTGTCTCCATTTTTTCAATTTTATTTATTTTTCTACATCATTTGAGCACAACAGCTGCACTACCATTTGTGTGAAACTTTCATGATGAATGGACCAATAGAAATGCTCCAAAATTGCTTTGAACAAAATTTATCTACATTGCCTTACATTAAAAGCAAAGAGTGTTTGGCATTCTGAAATGTTTACATTTCAGAGTTAAACCATTTAATACAACCAAAAGATTATGACATCCAACATGCACAACACTGCACAACTATGTTCTAGTAAACATTACTAGAAGGTCAGCCTTAGCCAACCTTGTTATGTACTTTGTCATGATATCCTTAATTTACCTTCACGGTCATGCTGGTAAGAAAAAGCCTGTTCACTCTCTGAAAATGAAAACAGCTCCAACAAACCAACGTCTGCCGTGGAAAAAAATAGGTAATTTCCTTAATAAGCACGTCCTCTCCATTTGAGACATTATAAAGGACAACTCTGTCTCCACTCTCATTAAGAAACACTGTTAATACTGTAATGTTTTCCCTAAAGACTGTGAGTAGCAGTAAAAAAAAAAACACTTTTTTGTGAAATGAGCTGTGCAACTGCCTGGAAAATCCACTAAAATCATGGATGATGTGCATCTGGACAAGTATAACATTATGAGACCACTGCTGAGTTGCTCATTAAAAAAGAGTAGGTAATTAGGCCTGCAGTTTTTTCAAGGGAGGAGGGAAAAAACACTGTCTAGACCGATCCAGATGGCAGTAAAATCACAAAGGAGCACCTGCAAACGAGGAAATTACTCCAGGACCCCATATAAATTTAATCTTGTCCAAACAGTGTTACAACAACTTCTGCTGCATCAAATACACCAGTGTGAAAAGTGTCTATTATATGATATGCAGTACATCTCCAGCTTTGAATTCTTCTCGCCCAATGGTTCCCAAAGCAGTACCCACGGCCCCCAAACTGCACATTCTTGCTCTAATCCTATGTGCTGGGAGCTGGGATAGAGCTGAAACTGTCTGGGGGGCTCTGAGGACCAGTTTGAAAACCACTAGTTTTTCATGTCTCCAGGCCACTTATAATGCATTAAATGTAACTGACTGGAATGTGAACATCATTTCAACATGAATAAAATATATTACATCAACACAATTAGTGCCGAAAGTAAGCCAAAACGCATATATGTGTAATATATTCGATTCAGGAGGAAATGATGAATCCAGTCAAAGTCAATGCAGTCACTGTTTCCAGCATAAGAAGTATAGCAATTCAACCACAGAGCTGAATCAGTTTATTTGAGCTAGAACTGAACAATAACTGAGACGTGCTGTGAAGCTCACTGGGAGGATGGAAAAATCCATATGTCAGGGTGGAGTTATCCTTGTAGAAGGAACAAGACTGCCTTGCAGAGGTCGGAATGCGTACATCAGCACGAACACACTCTTCTTGGGAAGAACTGAGGGGCTGCACACCAGCCTGGGTGTATGTTTGAAAGAAGAAAGAAAAATGAGAGGAGAATGTTTATGTGGAGGACAGCTATTACACACGCCGATGTACTGGAGAACGAGTGGTGAAAGGTATGCAAGTAAGATAAAACTATACTTATAGGGAGCAAATGCAGTTTAGAAGGGCAGAGGGAAAATGTTATTTATCTGTTTTATTAAGAGGAAATAAAATAAAGAGTGAAAAAATTTCACTCAGTCAGGATGTCACTACGAATAACAAGTTATATTAAAAGACCCATATCATGAATTTCTCCTCACTTTTTTTAAATAGAACAGTTTGATGTAGTACTTAAACACTGTTCAAGTTTCAAAATGCTCCATTCACTCTCCAGTCCATATGGTCCACATGTGGAAACTACGTGGCAAAAACCCAAAAAGCCCATATTGAATTCACTGTTTCACTGAAACCAACACATTTACAAAGATCCCTCTATTCAGCCTACAGCAGCTTAGCCCCGCCCACTCACACCAACGTTAGAAGCAATGTTTTAGCACAGACTGCTTTTTGAGTTAGTCAAAACAAAGAGCAGCCAATCAGAACAGAACCCATTTACATATATCGGTTTTAAAGGCCCAGTAACAAAATAACCTTATTAATTTTACAGGATAAGAGAGAACATGGCAATAGAAAAATGAATTATTATGTTTTATCTAATGAAGCAATGTTAGGAGTCTTGCCTTATTATTGTCTTATTGGTTTAACACAGTGGCGCTTCAGACTTATATCTGATTGGGGTTAGCTAACAGTATGGTCTAACAGCCTGACCACCACTGGCCAATATAGATAGTGACGTGCTTTGTGTACATGGGCAGAGATGGATGGTGGAGTCAAAAGGTTCTAATGTTACTGTATTTCAGCATGCAACCACTGGAGTGCCATTTTTACCTACTGCACCTTTTGATTCCACAGATTTGTCAAAAGTTCTGCCAAATTCAGTCGTAAACAAAGTCAGTAGTAGTTTGATGCAGAACGGTTCACTGTAGAGAAACTTTCTGATTTCTTTAGTGATGGTGATCGGTGCCGGGGTCTATAATATAGTCACTTTGTTGATTATCCAAAATGACTAGTAAACCTACACTTGTCTTCTGAGTTTCTATTTGTAATACTGATAACAGAAAAATAGTGATAGATGTACAATGCCTGGCATGAACACCTCCACCATTAATGCATTTTAAAAAAATCATTTTATGCCAACTATCTTAAACAGTGTGTCAGGCATCAGGCAGCGTATTCTATATATTTCAATAACTTGGAGTTTTAGAGACGTCTGGTTCCTATCACCACCACTGTGAACAACTCTGACTATATTTCTCTAGAACTGAGCATTTCACACCAAACCATTCTGAAGAACTGTTTACATCTTAACCATTTAATTACAGAGAAAGTTCGAAAAATTCCCCTTTAAGTGCTCAAATTTCATCGCTGGAGATCAGCAAAACTGACATACTGGTGACAGTGAAATTCTTTAATTCTTTTTTTTTGTATATAAAAATGTATTTAATTTGTTTACATCAGGTTGTATATTCTTTTTTCACTAAGATGTGAGAAGGTGTAACTTTCTTTGCTAATTTGACATGGCTGTTTTCAAGACAGCCCAAAGCTTTTCCCTATGCCCACTTTGTTTATTGTGGTTTGAATAGGTCTAGACTGTTTTATCATCACAGTTACTTCATTTTTTTACTCTTATCATAAGTTGGAAACTGGCTCTATCAGATATCAGTGCACTGCTGGAACTATGCAGTTATTGCACACAAGAAAAGTATAACCAAGATTAACATTCAAACAAATGTGCTTTTACTAACCTGAAGTAAGTGGTCTGAAGATAAAATAAATACAAATTAATAACACATTTGTTCAAAAACACACAGAAAATGAATACACAGTGAATACACATTTCTATTTTCATCTTCAGTTCTAGCCGACTGGACTTACAGTGATGATAACTAATTTACATTTATCAGAAAACTGTATGACAGAAATGATGAATGAGTAAAAGCTGCCCTGAGTGGAGTGATAGTTATGTGAGCAGTAGAACACATAAGTCAGAGTTCAACGAGTGTAGCTCATGATTTATGCTGAGGCTTGACCACATAATGAAATAGTACATGCATGCTGTGAAAGCTAACACGAGGAAAGGATATATGATCTGAGAGAGCTGGAGACAGATCAGCTTTTCTTGTGTCGAATTACCTTCAAGGGAAAATCACACACAGGCTATTTAACTCTTCAAATATACTTTCACTATTTTAAATTATAAAGATGGAATTCTCTGAGTTTTTTATATTTTTGTATTGCATTTATCACCATTATCGCCACATTTTCAAGACAACACTGATAGGTTTTATCAATAGTTTTCATCCTTTGAGAAGATTGTTGATTTTCATCATTGTTGATACAGTAGGTAAATAAAGACATATACAAATGCATAGCATACCCTATATGTCCAAAAATATTCAGACAGCCCTTCTAAATAGTGAGTCACACAGGCATTCAATTGTGCACAGACAGCTTGTTTAATCTCCATAGAAATGCATTTCCAAAAGAATGAGATGCTCTGTAGCAGCATCATGAGCATCATTATGCTCAATGCTGGCTAGAGGTGTATAAAGCCCCCAGCATTAAGCCGTGGAGCAGGGGAACTGTGTTTTCTGGAGTGATGGAGCTTCTCTGGGATGAGCTGGAGTGATCCAGAACTGATCATCCAACATCAGTACCTGACTTCACTAATGCTCTTGTGGCTGAATGCAATCAAATCCTCACAGCAATGTGCCAACATCTAGAGTAAAGCTTTCCCAGAAGAGTAGAGGCTGTTACGGCAGCCAAGAGCAAAAGAGGTTCTATACCCTAATACCCTTGATTTCAGAAGAAGCACTGGATGACTCACAAAGTCAAAATCTTGAGAAAATAAGACATTTCAAGCTACCGAGTCACTGTGTATGTCTGTCTGTCTACCCTGTGATGGACTGGCGACCTGTCCAGGGTGTATCCTGCCTTCCGCCCAATAACAGCTGGGATAGGCTCCAGCACCCCACCGCGACCCAGAAGGATAAGCGGTTTAGATGATGTATGTATGTATGTATGTAAGCTACCGAGTCACAGTTTGAAACAGATGGATAAAACACGTTTTTTCTCCTTTTATACAAAACAAGCCACATAAATACATCTGTAGTGAATTGAATAGTTACTTACATATTTGTTGTTTATTTACTGTCTTTTCCATTATTTATAGCTACTTACATATGTGTACTTACTTGCTTTTTTTAATTGCTGATGGCTATTTATATATGTTTACTTGTTTTTATTTGTGCTTTTTTTCCAGTCTGTCCCTTTTAGGAATTAATGGATTGGAGTTTAAATTAACATATTGATACTACTGGTTCTCTTGCCTTTTCTTCACCCTCTGACTCGTGTGCTTGTCATGTGAAGCTCTTTTAGCATCTGTGCTACCACCTATAATGAAAGCAAATGTTTTTCACAAGCGTAGGTTTTTAAAAGAAGAGTGTCATTCTTGTTTTTTAAGAGCATCTGGTGAAGGCTGTGCTGACTGAAACATTCACCATCTTGCTGCTTTATTACTATTTTCAATTTCCAGAGAAATGAAAGACAATCTCACCAGTGGTTCCAGTGTATATGCGACCCAGAGAGGCATGAGGATGTCTTTGCTGTATCCACTGATGTAGGATGAATGATGAAGTAAGCAGTAGTTGGCCTTCTCCTGTAAAACTCGTGGAACTCCGTACGGTAGATGAAGACGTTTGGCGGTCATGTCTGAGTACAATAGGTTATTACTTACTCAGAATCATAAATCTAAATGTTTAAAATATGCTTTTGCAAGTCAAGATTAAGAAAATCTGAGAAAATCACATCTAACATTACATACCGGAATGTGAACTGATGAGTTGTTGGTTGAGAATTTTCACCTGAAACAGAAAGAGGAAAAGTTGAAATATAAACATTAACATAGAGCAAAATATGAATGTATCAATAAAATTCACAGCAGAGTTTTAATGAAATAGCTCATACACTGCAAATAATCAGATTTGGTAACAGCATCTTAAATGTGGGCCAAAATTTCTAATATTTCCAATTCTAAGATTGTTCTAAATATATACACCAACAGGCATAACATTAGGACCACCTCCTTGTTTCTACGCTCATTGTCCATTTAATCAGCTCCACTTACTATATAGGTGCACTTTGTAGTTCTACAATTACAGACTGTAGTCCATCTGTTTCTCTGCATACTTTGTTAGCCCCCTTTTACCCTGTTGTTCAGTGGTCAGGACCCCCCATGGACCCTCACAGAGCAGGTACTATTTGGGTGGTGGATCATTCTTAGCACTGCAGTAACACTGACGTGGTGGTGGTGTGTTAGTGTGTGTTGCGCTGGTGTGAGTGGATGAGACACAGCAGTGCTGCTGGAGTTTTTAACCACCTCAGCATCACTGCTGGACTGAGAATAGTCCACCAACCAAAAATATCCAGCCAACAGCGTCCTGTGGGCAGCGTCCTGTGACCACTGATGAAGGACTAAAGGATGACCAACACAAACTGTGCAGCAGCAGATGAGCTATTGTCCCTGACTTTACATCTACAAGGTGGACTGACAAGGTAGGAGTGTCTAATAGAGTGGACAGTGAGTGGACACAGTGTTTAAAAACTCCAGCAGCACTGCTGTGTCTGATCCACTATCTATTTTTAGACATTTTTACTTACATAAAGCATATATGAAATCATTCTACTGTACTAGCATAAGAATTATTTTAATTATATATTTAAATAGAATTAATAAAATGAAGATAAAATTACTTAAAAATGTTTAGACATAGATTTAGTATAATTATATATATATATATATATATATATATATATATATATATATATATATATATATATATTGCCTATATCTAAGATGCTCTCATTTGCCAAAACACACTACATGTTCAAACATCTCCAGACACTCCTACTAATTAAAGCATTCAACCACTTAAAAGGGTTTTTTTTCAAAATATGTGCACGATTAAACCATTAAGATGCAAACAAAGTCATTCAGAGTAGTTTCATGTGAAATGGTTTATTCTAGAGTTAATGAGGCAGACTTGGTCACAGTGTTGCTAATAGGAACCATATGTCTAAAGAATTTAATATCTCTAAAAGCTCCCTCATAGAAAGTTACTGTATGAAATGTTTAAGAATACATTGCCTGATGACACTGTTTTACAATAGTTTGAGAAGACTTTACATATAGGGGCTCATGCAGGGCATTGCAAGGCCAATAGTCCTCAGTTAAAATTTGTTTTTACAGGATTTACTACTATTTTACCATCATCACCATTCCACATAAACACTCAGTAGACATGTGTAGGTTCACTGGTGGTTTGGGATGGTAAATAAAATGGCTATATCTGTGTCACCACCACTGTATTAAAAAGTATTAAAAGTGTCTCTACAATTAACAATTTCATGTCAAGCCACTCCGAATAAGTTTGTTTACACCTTGACCACCGAATTATAAAGATAGTTTGAACATTTTTGAAAATTTGTGGAATTCCTCTTTAAGGCCTATATAATCTCCATAGAAAAGCACTGGAAATAGAATGAGCAGCCAAACACGAGTCCAAGGTCTCCATGTCCAATGCCAAGTGCTGGCTAGAGGGGTATAAAGTGGAACTGTTCCTTGGAGTGATGGAGCTCAATCCAATACCATTGGGATGGGCTGGTGTGATCCAGAACTAATTATCCAACATCAGTACCTGATCTCACTAATGCCCTTGTGTCTCAACGCAATTAAGTCCTCACAGCAATGTTCCAACATGTAAAGCCTCCCAAGAAGAGTGGAGGCTGTTACTGCAGTGAAGGGAGGGGGGCGGCTCACCATTAATACCCTTAATTTCAGAAGAAACGTTGGATGAGCAGATGTCCACAAACTTTTGGACATATTCTGTATTTTTTGCAGTTTATAGTCGCTTGAGTCAGTCTTTTGCCGTAATGATCAGGATAAACGTAAGTACTGATGTGCTTGTTTTAAATAAAAAAAAATCACTAGGTTCAAACTGCAGATTGTGTTGGTTTTTGTGTGGTGCAAACCTGGTCCTTCGTGTGGGAGCTGCAGACACAGCCTGGCTCGTCAGTGGGTAAAAGAGCCTTGGTGGAGCAGCTGGACGCTGGAGAGATCTCAGCAGGGTAGACTGGTTGGTGAGGTGGATTCCTCAGGAGATGGTTGAGACTCCCATGAGTGCCATTGTTAGGTGCAGGGGGAACGCCCAAGAGATCTATATGGAGAAAGACGTGCAAGTATATAAAATTGTGTGTACATTAACTGCACCTGTTTTATTATCACTATTTTAACGCTTTCTAACACAGGCATGTTATCAGGCAAGTGAATATTAGAGTGGGGGGTGGTCTGTGCTCTTTTGGTTGGTTAGTTGGTATTCTGTATTGCCTCTGCCGTTTTGGAGACAGCCATACAGCTTGTGGAATGGCTTGGGTTCTATGAGATTTATTGCTAGTTGCCCCCTCTGGTTCAGTACTGACAACCTGAGGTTCTCCTCAGTAACTCTGACCTGTCACACATCACCACAGCACTGAAAATCCGACCAATAAAACACTGATAATCTCTTTAAGAAAGAGTCACATTCCAAAATGTAGTTATTCTGAACAACAACCAAACAAAATGATTGTGATGAATGGGTTCAATAACTTGCTAAACTTGTAGTTTTCACAAAACAGCATTTATAGGAGACTGTGGAGCTCTTATATAGTTATAATACATTAAATAGTCTATTAAATGGATTAAATAGTCTAGTGAGTAACAGCACGGCTTTGCGGCTGGCAACTGGGGTTCATATCTGCGCATAGATAGCAACCTTAGTGCTTTTGGCTGCCTTTGGAAAAAACTTTTCATACTTTGGTTTTCTCTGAAAAATATTTACTCAAGCGTGAGTGCAATAAACAGTTGAATTTAAATGAAGTTTAATTCATGTTCATGTTGCCCTTTTTCCCCTTTAGAGTGTAAAACTGCCTCAAGCCATTGTTTTATGTTCTTGCTTTAGACTTATTTCCTTTGTATTTTTCCTTATTTTCAATGCAGAGCTAGCAAATGTCTACCTCAACCATTGATTGTGTCTCTGACAGATACACACATGGCTGCTCATTACAACAGACTGTCTTCTGTGTGTTTCTCCTGGCTTCAAACAGCTTGTATGTGTTTACAACGAGTGGTCTATTGTTCTTAGTATCTACACAAACAGCTGCTGTTATCCTGACATCATCCTTGGCAGATGAACCAATAGCTGCAGGGGAGATACACAGTATAAAAGCCTGTGTGCTAGGACTGTTGTCAGACTGGATTACTGCAGACTGATTGACAACTTCATCTCTGCTTCCCGTGCTTCTCCTGACTCTCTCACGGAAAAAGATTCAAGCTCATGCCCCCAAAAATGTCAGGCCTGGAACTTTCAACTTGTAGTTACTTGCTCCACAACTGAAAAGCATCAGCTAATAAAGCATCAGATAATAAATCCTAAGAAAAATCTAAATATTCATAAAGGTATTCATGCACCACTGAGAGTAAAGGCCACTTACCACACAAGAGGTTATACACTTCTATGTTTTCAAAGGGAGCCACGGTGGTGTTGTACTTCATTCCTGGACCATATCCTATGAAAATGGCCTGTAAACAAAGAGAGTTCAAACAGATGTCAATCATCATTGTAAACTTGTATGCTATTTAATATCTGTTTAAATGGCTTTGATATGGTCTGCATATTCATACACCAGGTTCTGTGTTCACAAGAACTATGACTATAAATTAGAAGGTTAGAAGGTCAGACACCCGGTCTTAGCTGTAGCAGGACTGATGCAGTACTGAGGAACAGGGAGGAGATGGGGTGGCGGTGGGGATTGCAAACACTTCGTCACAGTAATGGAAGATGAGGATGTGAATTTAAAGGACGTTAGATTGGAAGAAGGAGGGGTTTCAGGCATGTTCCTCCCCCCAAACTTCAGTTATAACATAATTGCATTTCGAGTTATAACGCAGCACACATACATAAGCAGTTTTTTTACCTACACACAACCACTAGCATTATTCTCATAATAGCTCTGTTAAAGCACCCATATCCTACATTATTCCTGCATGTTATTTTCTTTGCTTATAAATAATAACGCTTATAACATTTGTGTGGTACCAAAATCAGTCAGTTCATTCTAAAAGCAGCTGGAACACTCTTTAACTTCAAATTAAATAGGCAGGGCTAAACTGCTGTAGTCCAAATGTGCAAGGTTACACTGCTGTAGGCTGAATGGGCAGGGTTACACTGCTGTAGGCTGAATGGGTAGGGTTACACTGCCCTGAATGGGCAAGGCTAAACTGCTGTAGGTGGAATGGGTGGGATTACACTGCTGTAGGTAAATGCGGCTAAACAGCTGTAGGCCCAATGGGCATGGTTACACTGCTGTAGGCTGAATGGGCAAGACTAAAGTGCTGCAGGCTTAAAGGGAGGAGCTAACATGCTGAAGATAGAATGGGTTGGGTTACACTGCTGTTGGCTGAATGGATGGGGTTACACTGCTGTAGGCAGAAAGGATGGGGTTACCCTGCTGTAGGCCGAATGGGCAAGGCTAAACTGCTGTAGGCTGAATGGGTGAGGCTAACTCTGTAGGTTGAAAGGGTGAGGCTAACTGCTTCAGACTAAATGTGCGAGACTAAACATCTGAAGGCTGAATGAGCAGGCTTACATTGCTGTAGGTTGAACGGGTGGGGCTAAATTGCTGTCGGCTGAAGGGGCGAGACTAAACTGCTATAGGCTGAAGGGGCGAGGGTATACTGTTGTAAGATCAATGGGCAGAGCCAATCTGCTGTAGGCTGAATGGATGTGGTTACACTGCTGTATACAGAACATGTGGGTATGCTGTATGTCAAGGTGTTGGATTTTACAACATCACAAAACAATTAAGTAAAAACAGGCTGCTTTTGCAGCTTAGGTTCCATATATGGACTGTATGGACTGGGAAGAAAATAGTACAGTGTTTACGCACCACATCAAACTCTTTTATTTAAAAAAAAAAAACGAGGAAAAGTGGTGTGGAAAGAAAAAGTAAATCACAGAACATATGTCTTGCTATAGCAACACTGAAGTGAGCCAGTAGAAAGCGTGGTTTAGAAATACCTCACCCGACTGAAGAGTCAACACTGTGGCTCTTTACACATTACATAATGGCAGTCTGCTACATTTTGAAAAAACAGAAGGCTCACATGGCTGCCACAAGTAAACATTTCAACATAACTTTGCGCTTAACACTTAACACAGACAGCGTTAAATGAAACTTTGGCTGTGACCAAACTGGATCTCTATTTGTGTTTAAGGGCACTATAGAGCACAAACACAATTCCAGAAAGGTTAGGACACTATGCGGAAACGCTATTAAACACAGAAAGCAGTGATTAGTAAATTCTGATAGACCTGTATTAAATTGAAAACAGCACAAAAACATGATATTTGAGGCTTTACATTAAGAACTTTTTTTTTTTTTGTAAATATATGCTCATTCCAAATATGATGCCTGCAACACAAAAAGTTGGGACAGAAGCACTGAATACACCAAGTGATCCAGTTTTGAAAGTGAATGTTTTTTGTCATTCTTCTGCTACACAAGTCTTCAGCTGCGCAACCTTATTGGGGCATTGAGTTCACATGTTTTCAACCCCCACATTCTCTGGAAACACAATCATGCGGTTGTAACATGTGCAGAATGTTTCTTAGTGTTGTCATGTTGAAATAAACGTGAATGACCCTGAAAAAGACAGTGTCTAAAAGGCAACAACTTATGTCGCAAGTTAACCACTAATACCCCCCATACTACGACAGACCCTAGCTACTTTACGCTGGTAACAATCTGAATGGTCCTTTTATTCTTTGGCCCAGAGAACACAATGTGCATTAATCCCATAAAAAATATGAAGGGTTGACCCCTCAGACCACAAAACATGTTTCAACTGGGCATCAGTCCATTTCAGATGAGCTAGGGCTCAGAGAAATCAGCGGCGTTTCTGAACATTGTTGACATATGGCTTCCACTGTGCAAAGTACAGTCTTTACTTGCATTTGTTGATACAGCAAGGAACAGTGTTTATTAACAGTGATCTGATAAAGTATTCCTGAGCCCATGTGGTGATATCCACCACAGAAGCATGTCAGTTTTAACGCAGTGGTGTCTGAGCGATTTAGGGTCACAGGAAATCCTTGCAAATACTCATTGAGAAACATTGCTCTTAAACAGCTGGACTATTTGCTGATGCATTTTCTTCGGCAAAGTGGTGAACCTCGACCCATCCTTGTGCATAAAAGACTAGACCTTTCCTGGATGTGCCTTTTATACCCAAGCATGATTACATCTCCTGCTTAAGATGGGTTTGAACATTTCACAATGTTTCTAGTCTTAATTTCCTCCGGTCCCAACTTTTGATGTAGGCATCAGTTTCAGAATGAGTGTAGTGGCTTCGGCCTGGGGAAGGTCAGACAAACACTGAAAGGGAAACCAGATGTTGAGTACACACACACAAACAAAGCTTACTCATTGAGTCCCTTTGTGCATGTGGCTGGGAGGTCAGTGTCCTCTCTCCCACACTAGAGAGAGCCAGTCTTCATGCTGCCTTATGCTGCCCCAAACAAGTGTATACTTACACTATATATTTACAAAAACAATGTTGATAAGGTAAATCATTAATGTTCATGTATTTGTACTACTTTCCTTGAAATGCAGGTCAAAGTGGATTTACAAATCACTGCTTTCTGCTTTATTTGAATTGTATCTACTGCCCCAGTTTTTTTCTGGAACTGGGTTTGTACATTTGGTGTTTTTCTGTTAGGGCCCTGTGAAATCTGTTTTATTTTCTTGGTTTTATTTTCTTGCATTATTCTTAAATTGCAGACTCATTTGTGTCCAATGATGGTGTATCTGCTCAATGGTATATGGACCATTCTACTGAATTAGTTCAAACTGCAGTTTTGTTTTAAAAACAATTAAGTATTCAGACCTTAGATACTTACAAGGGTCATGTTATGATCTATTTAAACCCAATGCATTAATTGAGATAGTAATAGGTTAAATATATTGTCGCTATCCTATAAAAACCATGTATCTTCATTTTTGTCAATTTTTATTTTTATACATTATTTCAATACACTAGCTGTCTTTTATGGTGTGTGAAAATTTCACAATGATTTGACAAACAGAAATGCTCCCAAGTCACTTGGAATTAAGCCTCTTTACATTAACTTACATTAAAAGGTAAGACTGTTTGTGTCCTCTCCTGTGAACTTACTATTTTGGAGATACTTGTTTTTCTTTGGACAGCGACGATATACAAAATGTTCATTTATAGGATACTTTCTATTGAGAGGTGTCTGTCCCAAACCCTAACCCCTAAATTCAACTTGTGAAAATAATAATAATAATAATACTTTCTTTGTAAAAAAAAAAAAAGTGAAGTTAAAATATGTAGATATATCATAAGTTTATTTTTTGAGTAATAAAACTATTCAAAAAATGCTGTTTTAGTCCATAGGCGGAGCCTTATTTTAGCCACGCCCCTGCATTGTATAGCAGGAAGTGAGACTGCATCCCTGTCCCCCAAGGCTAAATGGTGAGCAGTTAGATCCCACTGTTTTGTAGTAAATGTGTCCCAAAGTCTAAAATCAGTGTGTAACATTTAGAACATAAGAATTAAGTAAACTGTTTTGTGTTTTAATGAGAATTCTTATACTTTAATGTGTGTACAACTGCTGCATGGGTTGGCATTTTTGAGTTGTGCTCAAAATTAGGCTAAAATAATCACTACTGAAACAGTCAGTACTGAAATGTTTGGTAATTTTTTGATCATGACAAAATGGAAAGTTGAATCATTTATTTTAATAAAATAGACGTAATTAAGACATAGAGTTACTCAAATCAAAAGGATTTTAGTCTAAAGTCCAAGTAAATTCTGAATGATCCATATCATTTTTCACTTCAGAGTTACAATTTACAACAGCCCAAATCGTAAATCGTGACGAGGACTGGGGAAACAGGCACAAAACCTGACTCATTAAATTCATTATTGCAGTAACCTACAGCAGTTACCATTCAGTGATTTAGCTGCATGATGAGCAGCAGTATGATGCTTATTACGGTCTTTGTTTCGAAGTGCACAAAGCTTCTGTTTTTGTACCCTGCCAGAGAATCGAGAGAGGCTGACGAGTTTTGTTTTCAATGGCTCAGCAGCCACCGTTAAGGTTTGCTAATGTTCCTATGTCCACTGCTTAGCAACAATAGACTTGAAAAGATGGAATACACTCAGCTGATGCAGTGATCTACAGCGTTCACCAGAAATTCCGAGTGGACTGTGGGGTTGGAGATTGCACTGCCTTTAATCACTCTGGAATTCCTTTTTTACAGTTCGGACACTAAGAGAAAAATGGCCAATGGTCCATTTCGGTCACAGTCTGAGTCCCTTGTTACTACACAAAAGACAGAGGAATGCTACATTAATGGTGACCACTGAGCCACTGAAAAAAAAATAGCAGCTCTGTACAGTTAAGAACAAAGACCCTCCTGCTGCTACAGCAAACACACTGAAAGAATGGTAATGGCAGAACCAAGAATGGACCAAGAATTATACACGTACCCTAG